GAGGAGGAGGAGGAGGAGGAGGAGGAGGAGGAGGAGGAGGAGGAAGAGGAGGAGGAGGAGGAGGAGGAGGAGGAGGAGGAGGAGCAGGAGGAGGAGGAGGAGGAGGAGAGGAGGAGGAGGGGCGCCGAAAACCATGAGGAACGTCGGGGGCCCAAGGGGCGCCGAAAACCCGGCCGCTCTCGGCGCTCGACGTCACGAACGTTTTGCTTTACAAGGTGGACGCCGGATTGCTTTCGCGCCAGATGTTGCTCTCTTTCCCTGAGACGTCGATCACATGCAGAAGCGATTCATCGGTAGAGTCCAAGGCGCGGATCACGCACACGTTTTGATTCACAGCATTTGGACCCCGCGCGCCCGTGCTGGGGCCGCGCCACCGGGCCGGCGCGGCGCAGGGCCTGCCGTGCGCGGGGAGGCCCGCGCGGGCACACTGAAAGGGGCCCTGGGACACACACATAAAGACACAAAACGAAAAGGATTCCCCAACTGTTCCCACACATACATATATATTTATATATATACATATATATAGATAGATTCTGGGTTTTTGTCTTCCCGCTCAATTGTCCCATACTTTCCCATATTTTCCTGGGGATCGACGATTCATTGTGTCGGTGTGTGTTTTTTCCCCTCCTGACACACGCCAGCATGGATCACGGATCCGCGGATCTGGCGCGCAAGCCCAGCAGGTCCACGTCCAGGATCCACGTGTGGACGGAGGGCCGGTCTGCGGAGGGTGTGCAGTGGAGAGGATCCCGTGTGCCCAAGCATGAAGGGGCCCCAGGACACACAAATAAATACACACAAATAAAAGAATCCCCCATATTTTCCCATATGTTCTGGGTTTCTGCGTGTTTCTTCCCCTCCTGAAGCCATGCATACAGACATATGGCACACCACTCCCCAAACAGTGCTTGCACTTGTGCTGTTTCTTCCACCCGCCGAGCCCGAATCGGCAAGTCCTGCGCCATAGCGATAGGCGGCCCAGACGACAACCACGAGGGTACGAGTGTAAGTCCTACCGGGGGAGTCCGAGATATTAGCGCAGAACGCGGACGAGTCAAAACCGACGGCGGTGGATTCCTACCATGCAGTCCGACGCTCATGCACCTGATTCGTCAACAACTGTGTACATTACTCCGCCCCAACACACAAGCAGAATCAGCGACGCCAGCATTTCATAACGCAGGAGGGGCCATCGCGGCCGCAGCGACGCACCAGCCAACACCAAGCACTCATCTCAATCGCGGCCGTATGGATTTTGCTAACCAAGTTGCGGGTGGGTGGGCGGGATGTGGATTGCACCACATATATTGCCCCATAGCTTGCACACCATGGGCCGCACCACATGTATTGCAAAATACAAGCATTGCACCACATGGACTGAACCAAATATATTGTACTACGCATTTTGCTCCGCATAGGTTGCGCAACAACATCATAGCCAGCGAGGACCCCAAACAGTATATTTGGCAATCTATGCTGCGCAACCTATGTCATGGCTCCTACGTGGTGCAATATATGTGGTGCAATATGCGTGGTAGTATCATCCATGATCCGCAATCTTTGTGGCGCAATCTACGTGGTGAACACACTACGTTGTGCAATATATGGTGCGCAATATACGTTTTGCAATCAATGTTGTGCAATACGTGTGAAGCAATCGATGTGGTGCAATCGATGTGGTGCAATATGTGCGGTACATGATCTGTTTTCCAATGTATGTGGAGCAATATATGTGATCAATCTATGTGGCGCAAGCTATGTTGAACAAAATGTGTTGTTCAATCTATGTGGTGCAAACCTTGTGGTGCGATCAATGTGGCGCAGTGGACGTGGTGCAGTACAGGTGGTGCGCAGTCTGGACTGTGCAATCGATGTGGAGAAGCCCGTGTAGGGGCAGTGTACGTTGTGCATCCGATGCTGCGCAATAAAAGTTGTGCAGCCTATATGGTGCAATCTGTGCCCAGACCCCCGACGTCGTGATTTCTTCACAACGTCGACCCCCAGAGGTCTGGACCCCTTCCCCGGGGCCCGTTTTTCATCCCGAATCGTTTTTTGACGCTCCCGAGGCCCGGTAAGGGCTCCCGGAGGCCGAAAATAGCGAAAAACCTCCCGTCGTGATTTTTCCACGACGCGGGGAGGTCTAAGTGTGCAGTGCAGTCCTTGCTGCGGCGACGGGGTGGCAACAGCGGCCACACAGCCGCCAGACCAGCACCCCAGGGCCTTCGCAACGACGGGCGCCGACGCGGCGACGAGAGGAGGAGGCGGAGGAGGAGGAGGAGGAGGAGGAGGAGGAGGAGGAGGAGCGGGCCCAGCCCCTCAGAAGGGCAGGGAGAGTCCCAGAGTGCAAGCGATGTTGAGGGAATCTGATGCTAGAGACTCTGGTTGACCCATAAGGGGGTCCAGCGACGTGGGGGTGGTACAATAGATCTGGTGCAACAGGTATGTGGGGTTGGAATACATCTGGGGCGTGCAATGCATTCCAGGGCGCAGATGTATTGCTGGACTTTCGCGCGCAATGCATTACTTGCAATGCGAAGCAATACAATTCTCTGGCGCAATACATGTGCAATACAATTGCCCCAAATCTATTGCACCACCCCCTTTCAGTTGGACCCCCTTTTGGGCTACTCCAAGAGACACACTTCTTTTTTTTGCCGGGGGGTCACGAGGACTTCGTCGCGAGTCAGCGGGAACATAAAAAATTGGAACAGGAGGTGGTGCAAAGTCGCCACCAACGAGCTCGCGCCAACTCGCTCACCCTCAGCGTGGGCCTCCTCGCGGTGCGCTGTAAGCGTACGGTTTCTACTATGGCATCTACGGTAACCCATTCCATTTGGAGGGACAGCACTCAATTATTCGAACAAGTGCGGTATTGCGAGAGGCAACCTGTGCCTCAATTCGCGCCAAGGCCACGCGGCGTCACGCAACAGGCCGGCCAGCACCCGCGTAGTCCCACACGTTGGACCAGGTGGAAGCTCTGCAGCGCCGCGCACACCAGCGCGAACACGCTCTCCGGTAGCTCCCGTTGTACAGCTCCGTCTCAGCCAGCCTCATGCGGAGATCCTTCTCCAAGACGCCCACGTCGCGCGCCGTGAGCAGCCCGGCGGCCACCATGCCCCTTAGCTTGTCCAGGCGGTTGCGGAGAATGAAGCGCAGCGCCAGGGTGTGCTTGGCAAAGTACCACCTGTCGGGCTGCAAGTCACAGATACGCTGCATATTATTCTTGGCCTTCAAGATGACCTGATCTATGAATTTCACGAACTGTGGGTACCTGCCTGTCACGGCATTGTCCCGTATGCTGACGTGAGCTTCCACGAAGGCGCAGAGTGCTTCGACTTTTGCGCGCACCACCTCGTGCTGGCCAGCCTGGAATCTCACGACATCCCACCACAGCGCCTCGTCGACGATCATATTCTCCAGACTTAGATATTCCACCACCAGCGGCTCGTACATGGTAGAGACTTCTGCGCCAATGTCATTCCTGCTGTGCTTCCCCAGGTCCACCGAGGACAGCGCGTTGACTTCGTGGTTGGCGCAGTCAACTCCGCGCAGAACAGACTCTGTGAGCCAGTACAGTGCAAGATCAGACAACAATCCGTGCTCGTGCTTTTCCGAATACATGTGCATCATATGATTGAAAAGCACGTGGAACATCTGACCGATTCCCTCTGCAGTTGCCCCGTTCATAGGCTCGAAGTTCAGGGCGAGACGTGCTCTTCCAGACAATCTCTGGCCGTCGCCGCTGCCCAACGTCTGCGAGGGCGACGCCTCCGATCCAATGTCGGCCGACGCCTCGAATCCGGTGTCGGCCTGTGGTTCCCAACGGCCTGAAACCCCCGTGAGGATAGCCTCCATGTCGTCATGACTATCCGATGCTTCGATCGCGACGTTGATGAAGGCTTCTTGCCTGGCGGGGTCGAACGGGTCACGGAGCAGGAGCTCGCCATGGAAACCGTGCGGAAGAAAGTCCACGCTGTGAATGGCGGCATGGCCTACAGTCGAGGAGCTGTGGCTGTGCTTGCGCATCACGGTGAAGACCAGCCACTCCTCGGGCAGGTACCCGCCGAAGCCGCACTCCGCATCCCAGACCGGCCTCAAGCCGTTCGGCACCACCTTGGTCTTGAAGGCCGCCCGGGAAGCGTGGCCGCCCCTCAGCTCGCAGACGCAGTAGTACGGGTCGGACACGCCGCTGTTGCCGAACAGGCCGCTGCGGTGGCTGCGGAGGCCGTGGCCCGCGCCGTGAAGGCCCCACGCGGAGACGACCTTCACCCGGAGCAGCGCCCGGCCGGGCGCCCAGCCGAGCTGCGCGCTGGGGGCCCGCGGCGGCACGGCGACGAGCTGCACGCAGGGGTACAGCTCCGCGGCGCTGAAGGTGCCGAAGACGCACCTCGCGGCCGGCCGGACGCCCTTGGCCCGCGAGCGCATCTCGAAGACGACCTCCCAGGCGCCGCCCGCTTTCCTTTTTGGACAAGCGCGCTCCACTACTCGCAGAGTAACTGCTCGCAAATGACCTGGATCCGCCGCGGGGGATCTACGATCCATTGCATAGTCAGCGGGGAGCGAGGGGGGAAAGTGAGAAGGAGAAGGCCTTCTCAGAAGGTTCGGAAGTCCCCCGGCCTTCTGAGAGGTTCTCTAAGCCTTCATCGAAGACAGAAGAAACTTCTCAGGAGGCGCGGGAGGGCTTCTGAGAAGCCCCGCCGCCTTCTGAGAAGGCCTTCTCCTTCTCACTTCCCCCCCTGAGCGCGCCGCCGAATGTGGTTTTTGGGTCATAACTCGGGTCTCCGGCGGCCGTTCGGGACGATCCCTGAACCCCCAGAACGCTCTCGGCGAGGCGCAGCCGCTGGCAAGCATCCCGAGGCTGGAAAACCGCCGAGAACCGACGAAACCGTCGGAAAACCTCCCTCGCCGCCGACATCGAGGAAGGCATGTTTTTTGTTCGGACGTTTGCGAGTAGGCACTTTGCAAGTAATGGACCCAGACCCCCGATGCCGTGACTTTTTCCCAAAGTCGATCCCCAGAGGTCTGGACCCTTTCCCTGGGACCGGACTCTCGTCCTGAGTCCGTTTTGGACGGCCCCGAGGCCCGGGAAGGGCCCCTGGAGGCCAAAACTGGCGAAAAACCTGGCGTCGTGATCTTTCTCACAACGCGCGGAGGTCTGGGGCCGACCAGCCGTAACTGGGGGAGCTGTGGTCCTTACCCCCCTGGGGGAACCCATCGCCTCGACGATCTCTCGAGAGGGGTGTCGAAATCGATGTGGGCGAGCAACGACATATGTACATGTACGCCCTCCGCGGTCTTGCCTGCACGAACGTCCGCGTTGACACGCACTCCAGGGGAAGCTAACCGCGTACGTGTACATATGTTGCTGGCCTCTGACGATGGGTCCCCCAGGGGGGTAAGGACCACAGCTCCCCCAATTGTGGCTGGCCTGTGGGGACCGCGCTCGGCGGCCTCTGCAGAGTCGCCAGCACGTGCTCGCCGGCCTGCACCGGGCCGCCGGGCACCTCCACGGAGCCGCTGCCCCCGGGGCAGCGGAAGCGCACCACGCCGCCCAGGCAGTCCAGGCCGATGGAGCCGGAAGCGGCGCCGAGCTCCTCGTCGGAGGAGGAATCTTGAGCAGGCATACCGGCCGTCCCGGCATTTTTATAGAGTCCTACCACGAGCTGCTCTCGGAACCCCCAGAGATGTTCTGCGAGCAAACACACTGTTCTTAGAACATAGACCCGATGTGTTAAATAAAACAAGACAGTCCCAGCCAGAAATGTTCTAAGAACATTTCGTGGGAACCGCAACAGATTCTTAGAACATTGTTTGGTGGGGCTATAGGCGAGCCGGGACGCATCGCCACTGCGTGAAAGAAGCCACCCACACCGCTCCCAGACCTCCTCGCGCTGCGACGAAATCACGACGGGAAGTCTTGCGCCGGTTTCGGCCTCCAGGGGCCCTTCCCGGGCCTCGGGGCCGCCCAAAAAGGACTCAGGATGAAAAACTGGTCACGGGGAAGGGGTCCAGACCTCTGGGGGTCGACGTTGTGAAAAAATCACGACGTCGGGGCTACGCTTTTCTCGTGTTCGCCTTTTTGGACCTCCTGGGAGGCCCACGTCGTCACCGCCTCGAAGTTCTGGTCAGAACGCACCCCAGGAGTGGTTCGCCCTGACTCCGGATCCGCCCTACTTTGGGGAAATGCGTAAGTAGGGCTTGGAATTTCCGCCTTACTTTTCAAGCCCCGCTGATGCCAATTTTCGCCCTACTCTTCTGTTACTGTTTCCGCCCTACTTCTGTGGATTTCCGCCCTAATTCATGCTGGGTGCAGAAATTTCCGCCCTACTTGTCCGGCTTCCTATCGGTGGATTTCCGACGCAGTTGTAAGTTGGGAAAAAAACCAAAGTAGGACGGATCTGGAGTCAGGGCGGGGAGTGGCGGTGTCGGTGCCTTTTGGCTTCCCCACCTCGTCAAGGAACATGTCGATAGAAGCCGCCTGAGCCGCCTGGGACAGTGTCTTCGCCGGCCTGACCTCACGGGTGTCCGCGACGAAGCCCACGATCGTCTTAACACAGGATGTCGCAAGTATCTTCACTCCGAAACCAGTCGGCTCAATACCGCCCTGGGTCTGTTCCTGCGTGATCGTGAGCAGACTCTTTGACGAGATGTAGGCGCCGTGGGTCGACAGCGTTGGATGCTCAGGGTCTATTATGAAATCCACATGGCCCGTGCTATCAACGCTGACATTCGCAGATATATCATCCGTCACTGCGCACAGCTCTGTCGAGCTCTTCTCTGCTATGAACCGGATGCTATCCTCTGATGCCTTTGATCGGGTGAAACTACGTCTGAAAGATTCCGTGGTGTCGGTGGCGGTGCCTGACTTCTCCTTTGCCTGGAAGGTTTTCGCGCTCGTTCGTAGTGACGCAAGCGTCTCGCTCACCATGCAGATCCCGACAGGAAAGGGTTCGCCTGCGGCGTTGAAACCAAGACTGCAGAAATTCGGAACACAAGGGAGGACCTTGGCGAGCTCGGTGACCTCTTCCTCTCCCTCGACAAGTGTTTTGAAAAACCAGTCTTGCGAAAACATGTGGCTGATGCTCCGCTGGCACTCCTTCTCTGCCTTGCCCAGCATCTTCTCCAGGTTCACCCTGCGGAGAGAGTGCACGGGATACGGGTTCAGCCAGGTGTACACATTATCTATTGTCACCGCATTGACGAACAATGTGTCGGCGGCGAGTCTGGGGGGAGGTGAGAAGGGATGGGCTTTCTCAGAAGGCTCGAAGTCCCCAGGCCTTCTGAGAAGTTTTCCGAAACCTTCCCGGAAGACACAGACAACTTTTCAGAAGGCGCTGAAGGGCTTAAGACCCACCGCCCTCTGAGAAGGTCTTCTCTAGACAAGCGCGTTCCACTACACGCAGAATAACTACTCGCAAATGGCCTGGATCCGCCGCGGGGGATTCACGAACCATGACAATATAGGAAGACATGTTCTTGTTTCGGACGTTTGCGAGCATGCACTCTGCGAGTAGCAGAGTGCGCTCGGCGATTCTCCTCCTCGCTTCCCCCCCTCGCTCGCCGCCGAATGTGAGCAAAACGATGCCGGACACATGGATAGGGAAACAAACAATGACATAAACGTAAAAACTCGGAGGTCCGCGAGGATCCCTCGTGTCGGCGCTGGACCCCCCGCGCGCGGAGCGCGCCAGGGGGGTCCCGCGCCGATCCGAGGAATCCGCGCGGACCTCCGAGATTTGTTATGTTTATGTCATTGTTTGTTTCCCCGAATGGAAGACGATCATCTGCTTGACGCTCGCATCCAGCCACTCGCTGTGCTCCACCTGCAGGGCCAGGATGAGGCCCACCGCTCCGCGCAGGCCGCCCCACACCAGCACGGTGGCCTCCTCTCGAGCCGGGGATCTCGACTGCAGCATCGAGGTACTCGCCCCAAGACTGATCTTCACGTCGAGCCTGCCACAGATGCGTAGAGCGTTCCACTTCGATCTACGAACGTGCTGCGCATCTTTCATGGACTCGGCGAGGAGGATCCAGTTTTGCGGCAAGTCGATTCTGCAGTCGATCCCGCTACTCGATCCTTGAGAGAGAGACCGTAGCCCAGGCGCAGAAGGAAGGGCGCCGACGCCAGCACCACGACGGCGCGGGACAGGTGGAGCGCGACGTACAGAGCTCCCAGCTCCAGCCAGGCGGTTCCTCTTGTGAAGTCGTGCATGCAGCCGGTCGCATGGCCTGTGTAGCGGGCGCAGATGATGCCGGCCCCGAAGAAGGCCACCTGGTTGCAATGGTACCCGATCTGCTGTAGCACCGTGTGGGTGCTGTGACGGCCGTCGTGAGACTGCCGTACCCTGATGCTGTACGTCATAGTGAAGCCGAGGGCAACAACTGCGAGCACCCCAGAAGTCGTGAGTTTCTCTGCGACAAAAAAGGTCGCGTAGACGGTGCTCAGGATCAAAGACACCTCGAGCATCGCGGAATTGCTGGAGCGCGCCATGCTGACCCAAGCCATCAGCAGCATGCCGGCCAGAACGCCCAAGGCCGCACCACCCACGGCCATCCGCATGAAGAATTCGAGAATGCAGGAGACCTCAGGGCTGCTGCCAGGGCAGTATTTCAAGGTGTCAGGCGCGCCTGCGCTCATACTCCAGTCGAAGAACACTTTGAAGAGCACTACGGCAGAGCCGTCGTTTAGCAGGCTCTCTCCCTCCACGAGCGTGGAGAGCTTCGGAGGGGCGCCCAACGACGTCAGCGATGCCACAACTGCGACGGGGTCTGTGGCAGACAAGATGGACGCCAAGAGGTTGGCTTCCGGCCAAGTGAGCGAATGGCCATCTGCTTTATCCACCCTCACGGACAACTTCACGAACGCGCCGGTCAGAAACGCGTTCAGGAGTACGCCCGGGATCGCCAGGATCAGGGACGAGGCGAGAACCTTCCTGAGCACGTGCCACGTCATGCCGCTGGCACTCTCGAACAGGAGAGGCGGCAGGATGATGTACAGCACCGCGTGTGGATCGAGGTACGCCGCGGAGTAGATCCCCTCCACGAGTACGTTACTAGGCTCGTCGGCATCGCCACCGATCCCCAGGTTCACGATGAGCGAGCCGAGGAGGTAGCCGGCGGAGAGCATCAAGACAGACAGGGGAGGCCTGACGGTCTGGGGCAGCATACCGCTCACGTGGTCCAGCACGTTGCAGGCCACGAAACCGAAGAACAGGAAGGCGAGCAGCCCGTCCATGCTGCCCTCGGGGGCGTGGTCGGGCGCGCAGCCCGAGGCGGCGGCGGCGTCGCCGCCGAGCTGCCGCTCGGCTGCCCACGCTGTGCTGCCCTTTCCCGTGGCGCTGCTGGTGCCCCACCCCAGAGCCAGCGCCGCGGCAGCGACCACCGCGAAGAGCAGGCACGCGCCGCGCTGCGCCCACATGTGCAGCCCCGCCGCCGCGGGCGGCCGCCCCGGCCGGCCGGGCCGCGCGAGCGAGGCGACCACCGTGGCGCCGCCGCTCAACGAGGACCCATCAACCCCAGCCATCGCCGATGCGGTTGTGGGCCCCGGGGCGGCTGGCGGGAAACAGGCGGCGGCAATCCTGCTGGCGGGGCGGCGGCAGCCGCAGATGCGTCGGGCTTGTGCTAGAATGGCTCCAGATTTCGAGAAGCACGCTACTGGGGCAGAGTCATGTGCAAACTGCACATGCCCAAAGAGTGCTGGTAATCCCGGAAGGGGGTGGGGACAATTCGAATTTTCATCTTGAAGGAAGAATCCATGGAGTGCGCAATATGGGGCGCGCGCGTCGTCGCGCGTGCATGCCGGAACCCTTCACAAACCCTCGGTTTCGAAAGGGTTTCAACATCGAGTGGCCCGAAACATGTAAAACAACAAAGGTCTCACAACAGGAATGTTCAATCAAAACCTGCGTTCGCGCTTTTGCGACGTCTTTGTTTCTACACTGGTTTTTCAACCTTTTCATCACATTCGACGAAACGTGCCTCTAGCGCGCACGGCGGAATCAGTCGAACGCCCTGGCGCACGTGCTGGGGGAACACGACGCCTGTCGAATGATATCAAGCGGGTCACTCGCGCGCGTCGCCCGTGCGCGCACATGTCGAAATCCCTCCAAACCTTTCTTCACCGACGCAAGGACACCATCGTCGTCATCGGCGTGACCAACATCGGGGCGGTCATCGCCCTTGCCGTCGTTATTGTCAGCCTCGTCACCAGCATCGCTACTATCATCATCGCGTTTGTCGCTGCCGACGTCGCCATGATACCACGCCCGCTCGATTCACCGACTCGCATTGATGTGCCCGCGCGTCAGCGCGGCCTGCGAAACGCGCTGGGGAGTTCTCAGCGGTCAGCGCCTCCGCGGCCGCGTCGGTCGCGCCGAACTAGCTGGCCGTTGCGCGCGCGAGCCTGCGCGCGTTAGCGCGGCCGCAACGATGCACACGCCAGCACCTAGTAACCATCGCGATCGCGGCTGCATGGGTTTTGCAAACCAAGTTGCGGGTGGGTGGGCGGGATGGTTGCGCGACCATGGGAGGCGGCCGCGCGCGACGAAGCCAATGCAAGTGGCACCGCACAGATTGCACCACATAGATTGCACAACGTAGATTCTCCGTTCTAAAAGAGAATAGACTCTACCCTCCCCCCGGCGTTATCCGCCCCCCTTTCTGGTGTGTAAATCATATATGATTCAGACCACATGTCCATCCGAAATGTGAGATTATATGAGATTATACTATCCCAAGGGAACCGGGATCGGTCCCCCGGAGGTTCCCTTGTAAAAAACGATACGCGGGGACATCTTTTGTTCTAACATAGCACTTGTTCGCGAATCCCTGGCAACAAATTGGACGAAGTGCGCACGCGCGCGTCGTCGCGCGCGCATGCCGAAATCCTTCAAAAACCTTCGGTGTCGGAAGGATTTCGCAATCGAGTTCCCAAAAAAACATACAACAACACAGGGTTTCGCAACACTGAGTTGCTAAAAAAGCTTACGCGCGAGCTCTTGCGAAATATTAAGACAACCGTCGGCTTTTCAAGATTTTCACAACATGCTACCAAACGGGCTTCGCGCGCGCATGTCGAAATCTGTCGAACGCCCTTGCGCGTGTGCCGTCGCGCCGTCGCGAGATTCCTCTGCAACAAATGGGAGGAAGTGCACACGCGCGCGCTGTCGCGCGCGTATGCCGAAATCCTCCAAAAACCTTCGGTTCCGGAAGGATTTCAACATCGCGTGTCCAAAAAACCTAAAAAGACAGGTTTCGCAACACGGATTTTCAACAAAAGCGTGCGCGCGCGCTCTTGCGTCGTCGTCGTCGTCGCCGTCCTCCCTCCTCCCGCGTCGTCGTCGTCGTCGTCGCCTACGTCGTCCTCTGTCTTTCCTCGTGTTCGTCGTCGTCGTCCTCTTTGGCGTCGTGGTCGTTTCCGTCGTCGTTGTCGCCGTGGTCGTCCTTCCTCCTCCTCCCTCGTCGTCGTCGTCGTCCGTCGTCGGCGTCTCGTCGTCGTCCCTCCTATTTCGTCGTCGTCGTTGTCGTCGTCGTCGTCTTCCCTCCTCCCTCGTCGTTGTCGTCGTCGGCGTCGCCGTCCTTCCTCCTTCTTCGCCGTTCGCGTCGTCGCCGTCCTCCCCCCTCCCTCGTCGTTGTCGTCGTTGTCGTCGTTGTCGCCGTCGTCGTCCTCCGTCCTCCCTGGTCGTCGTCTTCGTTGGCGACGTCGTCGTCGTCTTCGTCGTCGTCGTCGGCGTCGGCGTCGTCGTCTTCGTCGTCGTCGCCGCCGTCGTCTTCGTCGTCGTCGTCGTCGGCGTCGTTGCCGTCGTCGTCGTCGTCGTCGTCGTCGGTGTCGTCGTTGTCGTCGTCGTATCATCACGTATTGGAATGAAGTGGCCCTGTCGTTCGCTCATGATGTGAAGCAGACCTGTGACGGGTTTTTCTTCTGCGAGCCTCACCTTACGGAGGCCAAGGCGAAGCTTGCTAGAAGGAAATGTAATCAGATGAAGTGGCGGCCTCATTTTCAGGCCGCCGTCCCCGCCCCTGGAGGGGGTACCCGTGGAGGGGTAGGAGCTGTGGTCTCTCGGGGGCTTTGTTTTCGTAGGTTCCTGGCTGGTGCGGGGTCTGTGAAGGACCTGGGCCAGGGCAGCTGTTGGCTGTTTCTTGAGCTTCGGACTAAACAGTCCATCCTAGCGATTGGAGTGTATATATAGTTTCGGAATTGGGCGTCTGTAGCGAGAATGTCTCTAGGCTCCAGGAGATTGCGGAGTTTGTGGGCACCCTGGCGGCCCCCTGGGTACTTATGGGAGACTGGAACTTTCCTATAGATGATCTGGAGCTGTCTGGATTTACCCGTCTTGTGCGTGCTCGCGCTGTTGCCCCAAAAGATTTGGAGTTTACGCGTTCGCAGGGGAGGGGGGCCCTTATTGATTACGTGGTGGCCTCTGATGGTATCGCTTGCTTCTTGAAGGTTGGCAACTCTATCCCCTCGCCGTTCAAAACGCACGCGTGCTTGAGCGTGAATGTTGGTCATGATGTGGTGGAGCAGGTTCTCTGGAAGCGTCTTAAACCAGCTCCTTTCCCTGAATGCGAAGGACCTGACTTGCCTTGGGAGGTCTTGTTAGAGCAGTGCCGTGACGAAGGTATGTTGGAGGCCCCTGCATTCCTGACTGAGAAGTTTTTGCCGCATGTTGCTGACCATGTGTCTCCTGCTCTCTCTCTCTCTCTCTCTCTCTCTCTCTCTCTCTCTCTGAAAATTATGCGCTGTGGAGCCGCGTCACGGAGCGCATGTATCTTTCGCGAGCGTGTGCTGTTGATCACGCTCCGCAGGGCTTTGGTGAGCGAGCTGGATACCCATGTTTCTCTCGTGGCAAGGTTGGGCGTCGCGGTCTTGCAGGTCAGTCATTTAGGCAACCAGCTCTTTGTTTCTGGGCGCACCTATCGCAGAGCTTCTGGAAGTACAGGTTGAGCTTGGCCAGGAAGTCTAAGGTAGCTATTGATCGAGCTGCTGCGATAGTGGTGCCTCTCGCTTTCAAAGATGAAGAGCATGCGATTCCTGGAGATGTCCGGTCCGCTGCGTGGTGGCGGGCTCAGTTATCTAGCTTGCCCCAGGATGTGCCAGGTCTCGATGCGATCACCGATGCATGTAGTAGTACCCTGACTAAGGCGTGGACCGCGGCTCGCTCTGAGTCTAAGGCAAAGATGAAGGCCTGGCTGCTGCGCTCTCTTCCCAAAGGAGCCAAGCGAGTCCACGCTTGGTTGAAGTACGACCAGGGCGAGGGTCTTGAGTACCTTGTCACCCCCTTCTGAAGTCCTGCAGCTCCCCGAGGACCCCATGGCCTATCGCGAGAAGTATTGGAGAGGGTATTGGGAAGCCACTCCTGATAAACGAGAGAGATTGTCTGGGGTTTTGGATGAGCTGCGCGCGGTCGCGCTGGCGCCGGTGGAGGATTTGGAACCTCTTGGGGCGCTCGATGTGCATCCAGCGGCGCGGGTGTTCAAGGCTGATACGGCTGTGGGGGTCGATCACTGGGCCCCGCGTTCCCTGTTGGTTCTCCCTCTGTTCGATGTTGGGGTTTATGCCGATCTCCTCAACCATTGCGAGCGCTACATGATGTGGCCCACCCACTTCATGCTCGGTATCATCTCTCTTCTCCCTAAGGCCAAGGACGCGGAGCGTCCTGTCTGCAAGTGTGCCACCTTGTATCGAGTTTATTGCAAGGCTCGAGGGCGGGATATCAGTTCCTGGACCACCGGGCGAGCTGCTTTCTGGGACACGGCGATTCGAGGGTCCTCAGCTCTGGTTGCCGCCTTGTTGCGTGAAGTCGGTCATGAGGTGGCCTCGTATATGGATATGCAGTCTATTGGCCTGTATTGGGACCTTGCCAAGTTTTTTGACACGGTTGACCCTTGTCGCCTCGCTGGACTTGCATTGAAAATGCGGTACCCTGTGCACCTCCTGTACCTGGGGTTGATTATGCACGAGGCCCCTCGCATCTTGGAGGTTGGGGGGTTTGTCTCGGATATCACCCCTACAGGCGTAGGGGTACTCCCAGGTTGCGTGCAACCCATGGCGTGGGTTAAGATTTATGTGTACGACGTGCTGGACTTTGCGCACGCCAATTTTTTCCCTGTGCGAGTGCGAGCTTATGTGGGCAACATCACCCAAACTCAGCAAGGTTCGGTTGATGAGATCGTCAGCGCCATTGTCCCAGCAGCCGTGTGGCTACACCATCAGCTTGAAGCAGCTGGTACTGTGATTTCGGACAAGAGCGCTGTGGTCTGTTCTAGTGTTGCCCTGGAGCGAGCTGTCACTACTCGGGTGGATAGTGCTGGCATTAGGCTTCGTCGTGAGCGTACTGTGCGTGATCTGGCGGCCATGGCCACGGCTGGCAAGAGGCGCTGCGCGCGTAAGGCGAAGGGGCGGCAGCGCAGGGCCCGCAAGAAGGCCCAAAAGGTTTCTTACCTCACGAAGCTTGTTGGTCGGGCCAGCCGTTTGTACAAGCCCGCTGTTTTGGCGGTCGGGCCCTGGGCCATGAAGTTTTGGGG